CGGTCTTTAGGGAGCCGGTATAACGTCCGTAAAAAATCTACTTAAGAAAACTATTGGCGAAAACAAGCTGACGTTTAAAGAATTTTTCACGGTGCTCTTGGATATACGAGGGGGGGGGGTCAATAAGTCTTTACAAAATCCAAAAGATGGTGCTCGTCACGATTAAATTATGATGTTTTTGGTAAGCAATACTACTAACTAGATATCGTACAAAGTTTCAGCTCGATTCATTAATTCGTTTTTTTGTGAGCGTTGGTTGAACAAAAAGTTATTGGTTTATTTGAAAAATGGAAAAAATAGAGTTTCGAGCGGTTATAAAACATTTTCATCACACCAAAAGAATTCACAGTTAAGTTGAATGCCATTCATGACAAGTCTCCCCCTGTATTTAAGACTGTTTATAACTGGGTAAATGAATTTAAACGAGGCCGTACAACAACAAAAGATGAACCTTGTTCAGTACGCCACGTTGAAGTGAGTACGCTCGAAATGGTCAACAAAATCCACAATATGATGTTGAGTGATAGAAGATTAAAATTGCGAGAATTGGTTAAGGCCATAGTGGTATTAAAGCGTATAATGATTTCAATTTTGCATGAAAAATTGGAGATGAAAAAAATATTAGCAAGAAGGGTACCGCGTTTGCTCACTGTTGAAAACAAATGGACCCGTTTGGTCACCTCTGAGGCTCTTTTGGCACGCATACGTCGTAATCCAGAAGACTTTTGGCATCGACTCGTAACTATAGACGAAACATGGGTATACGACTACACTCCTGAAACCAAAGAACAGTCCAAACAATGGATTACTGTAGGAGAACCAGCCCCAAATAAGGCAAAGACAGTAAAGTCAGCTGGCAAGATTATGGCCACGGTTTTCTGGGATGCGTATGGAATCATCTACATCGACTACTTGGAAAAGGGTCAGACGATCACTGAACAATATTATGCGTCATTATTAGATTAGCTGAAAGAAAAAATCAGAGAAGAACTTCCTTACTTGAACAAAGAAAAATGCCTCTTTCTTCAAGACAATGCTCGAATTCACACGTGTGCAGTTTCGATGGTAAAAATTAACGATTTAATGTTCGAATTAATTGACAATCCACCATATTCGCCTGATTTGGCTCCCAGTGACTTTTTCTTATGTCCTAACCTCAAAAAATGGCTTGCCGGACAACGATTCACGTCGAATGAAGAAATCATCGCCGATACAAATGCCTATTTTGAGGGTTTTCAGAAATCATATTTTTCTGATGCCTTCAAAAAACTGGAAGGCAGCCCGATCAGCGGCACCCGGCCCATCACGAACACTAGGAGTTGCGTAGTGCGGGCCGTGCCCGTGTCCAAGACGTTGGCACTACGCTCCTCCAGGAGACGTCTTCCTTTTCGCACGAGTCGTGCATGCGGCATCGCTCGGTCAGCGTTTTTTAGTGAATGGCCATTCATATAAGGTATCGGTTAGTGGTTTAAAAGCTATGCGAGCAATCTGTAAGTAATACCGCAGATAGTTGATTTTCTTTGTAGTTATAAGTTCATCTCTGTATCTTTCTGTTATTAAATAACTTTTATTTACAACCTCACACCCCCACCTGTTTCAAATTAACTTACCCTTGCCTCTCTCTCTTTATTGCAACTAATTAATCGTATAGATTAAACATCCAGCTTCAAGAAGGAAAAAGATGGCGTAACGATATAGATAATTTCACAGTCAGCCAACTTGTGGTCCTAAAAAACGATAGGTATCCTACATCTAAATGGCCACTTGGACGAGTCATCGAGACTTATATTGGCAAAGAATTCAAAAACGGATTATAAAAAAATTAATAAAACGACATATCTTGAGAAAATTAACACAAATAAACCTAAAGCTTTCCGGTATATATCCTACACCCCCAGTGATTAACTCCATATGCATACCCCCTAATCAATTTCTTGATTAACCCCCTGATTAGCCCCACTCGTATACTTCCTGATCAACCTTACCCCCTGATCAACCCCACTCGCATACCCCTGAACACTCCTTCATTAACAGACTAACAGTGTAATTGTCTAACCCACTTTTAAACATCATAGCATATGGAAAATCAGCAGTACTGGTGATCGGCAACTATTCATATAGTATTAATAGGGTATAGGGGTAGTTTACCCTCGAAATACATAAAAATGAAAAAACGCCGAAACACGTCAATTTTATTTTATCATTTCCTAGATGAAAATTTATTTTTTAATTTTTTTATAATAATTTTTTGATTCTGTATTCAAAAAATCCACTCAAAAATATAATTTTTTCTCTATACATCGTAGGAGTTGCTACTCCCCGAGTCTATAACTATACGGTTTTGTTCTTTATTAAGTAAGAAATTTTTTCCATTTTGTTTATCAAAAAAGATTCATTAGAACCAAAGATACTGCTATTTAACTGTTTTTATGGGTGACATTCGAGGGTGATTGTCACCCCCTAGACAGCTTTTTCCACCGATAAAAAAAAATACGTGTCTCTTATTATTTTATCAAGTATAACATAATAATTTAATAACATAATAACATAATTTTAACAACATTAACATAATAACATAATTTTATCAAGTATAACATATCTCAATTGCAACAAAATTGAAGGCAGACGGTTGGAAATATTCCCTTTTAAGACGATCACTAAAATGATATTATCACACTCACTTAAATAATCAATTACCGTCAGTTTTGATCTGAGTTAATTTGTTAGCTATCGTGATAATTTTATAAATGTGTTGGACGTCAGGCACTACTACTCATTGATTATAAATAATTAATATTTCAGAGGAGTGCCACCCTAAATAACCATTGACTCGAGAGACAATTAGCAAAAACTATGAATAAATTTTGATGCAATCAATATTTCGGAATTTCGATAAACCGAATGAACTAGACTTATGAAATATTAGTCGCGAATTCATAAGTGTATAAATGTGTTTAACCGCAATATTTATCTGCGGCTTAGCTCAATTTGCGGCTTGGCCATGGCTTACCTTGATGATAGCAAATAGTCGGAGTAGATTCGGCTTTGTATTTACCTGTTTCTCTTGTTCTCTGTAGAATTTTGAACTAACGCTCAATGTCGGATGGACAGAGGACAAAGTAGGGTATTGATGATGCAATTGAATTTAGGAATAATTGAGTCGATATATTAAATAAAAGAATGTGTAATTGTATCGAGTAAAAAGGTACAACAAAAATTGGTGTGAAGTGTTAATGTTTGTGTAAATGTGTAGGTTCTGAATTTGAAACTATTAACAAACAAAAGATCGAAATGATATATCTTAAATTTCTAACTAAGCAATCGTACAATTAATTTTCGAACGCAGACGCACTATTACGTACTCTTCCTTGCACTATTTGCCGAACTCTTAACTTCTCTGATGGGCGGCGTATTTATGCAAACGGCGGTGCAGTGAAATGGTATTTATGAAAACGGTTATGGTTAACGATAAGTCATGCAAAACTCATTTTTATATTGGGAATTTTCATAGTCGCAATACTATTTTGATTTCGACGATTTTTGTATTTAACGCTGTCTCTCTCTATCGCATTAATCAAAGTGTTCACTATTATTCTCCAAACATAACTCTAATTACTGCCGAAAGTTTTTCTGCATAATGCTGTTATTCGAATTTCATTAAAAACATTATTTTTTATATATTTCCACAAAAAGAAATCAATGGGATTTAAGTTTGGTGACCTAAGAGGCCACGCGATCGGTTTATCACACCCTATCCATCGATTTGAAAATTGCTGACTTAAGAAGACTTGTCCAATACGAGCATAATTCCGGTAATAAATTAAGTTTATAAGGATGGTATGGTATAGATCTTAATAATCTATGAATTGAAGTTCTATCGTAGTTAGCTATTTTGCATACATACAAAAGTATTTTATAAAATGAATTGGTTATTAGTAATTTAGTGTCAATAATAAATCACAGGGCAATAATTTTATTATCTAAAAACCACACCTCACTTACTCGAAGTTTTTTAGTGCTCTAAATCCGTATCCGTCATTAGAATGATTTCTGTACCCAAGGTTTTTGAGATATCCTAACTTAAATTTACAAAAAACGCGATTTTATTGCTATATTTGAACTGATAATAAAGTAAACTAAGCGATAATAATTTTTTTTCAACAAACCAATAATGCCTTGTACTACTAATACTTTAATGTCCTAAAATACTTTTTTCTGATTGGAAAAACGTTGCCTCGATTTCTCAACCGAAAACTGAAAAATCAACGATTTTCGGTAGAACAATAGGTATTAAGCTTCATTTTAACATCCAGTTATTTAACATAGAAAAATCATAACTGCAAGCGCTAAACCTCAGACAAGTTAACGCAAGAGTACAAAACCTGTAATTGTTGAACCCCAGACAGGTTCAGTTTCTCTTTCCTCTTAAAGCAATCTAGCATAACTAGATATTAGCTCTATAGATCCTCTGACTGTTACATACTATATCCCACACTATATAATTTATCATTGCATTATCCGCCAACTTCCCCAAGTATAGCGATGTTCGTACTGTAACGTTTACCATAGGTTCTGTCATACTACGCTAGCTATATATGGGCACGCAGTCATGTTAATATGAAACTCTCAATATATACATAACTGATCATGAAACTGATCAATTGATAATGCGACTATCAATACATTATAAATTATAGTAGGACATAATAAATTGTAATAGTATATTTATCAGTCCTACAATCAATTTATTATTGTATCATGCAACAACAGCTTTCACCGTAATGTAAAGTCTTAGGTTAGTATTTATCATAGCGTAATATTCTGATCCAGAATGAACATAATTACACTATTTATATCACCTCGTGTAATGAAGCGCATAATCTTCCATATTTATTTATTGCATACATGCTATTTTGTAATGGAATTTGTGCAGAATCTTCGTTCTATAAAATATAATACTTTACATATTTCTGAAAATATAAAGAAATACATTTTTTTAGGTGTTGTTAAAACATGGATTGCTCATGACAAGTATCAGGGTCACTCACTGAGAACTTTGTTGACAAGATTTATTGACATAACTACACCACCATCGCCCAATCTATTGAAATATTTCGCTTCAATTGCCTCTGATTCTCAAGAAAGAGAAAGGTTAAATATTTTAGCATCTGTAAGTAACAAGTTTTTCCAATAAAGTAAGCTATTTTACATGTTTCTTTCCATTGTTTTCTTAAAGAGCAACTGTTGTAACAGTTTTAATTTACTATAATATAACTTATCTTAACAACCATAATCTTGTAAGAAAGCAAGAGGAAGAGTTAATAAGGGAGAGTAATAGCGAGAGAGAGAGATAGTATATAAGCCGGAGTAAACGTAGAACTTTAGTCGACTGTTATTTATGCTGTAAATTATACATCAAAACATTTTTTTTAATTCATATTAAACTTTCTTAGAAATATACGTGCATAATGGATTTTCTGATATTGATATATTAATAACAATTATAATAAAAAATTTCACCAATAAGAAAGTGCCCCCAATCCAACAATATCAATTTCAATAATGCTTTTATTTATTGTAGTACTCGACAAAATAAAAGAAACGTCTATTGATTTTTATGTCCACATTCATTTTTAGGATTAGAAAACCATCCCTCAATTATATCCCCATAATGGTTTTCTCATTTTATCTTAGCATTTAATGAATAATTTTTTAATAAAATCAAGTGAAAAATATATTAACGTATGAAGTGTACATTAAGCATACTTATGGCCTAGAAAGATACATTCTTAATTTATATATTAAAAAAATTAGATTTTTATTCATTATTTTCAAGAAAAACCAAGATATGAAATACAAAAAGTTAAGAAAAGCATTTTTATTTACTATATCGTATATCTAAGTTAACGTTTTTTTGAATGTTTAAATAGTCATCCCCGTGCTCTGCTAACCACCTCTTTAGATATATCGCAGGTAAGTAATAAAAAATTAATTTTTTCTTTACAATACTTATATAGGAGGGTCGTTTGAAAAGTCCGTGCAAAAATAAAAACTGCTTGATTTTTTTTAATAAATCTTTTTTATTTTTCAACATAGTCTCCTTTTAGGCTTATACAATTCATCCAACGCTGGTCTAGTTTGTTAATCCCTTCCAAATTGTAGGATTTGTCCAAGTCCGTAAAATAGGCATTCGTTCCTGCAATCACCTCCTCGTTTGAATAAAATCTTTTCCCCGACATTTTTTCATATTAGGGAACAAATACTGGTCCAATGGAGCCAAGTCTGGAGAATAGAGGAGATGTGAAATGAGTTGGAACCCTATCTCCATCAGTTTTGCGGCCACAACAGCTGAGGCGTGAGCTGGCGCATTCTCGTGGTGGAAGAGGACTTTTTTGTGGGCCAATCGTAGACGTTTCTCTAGCAACTCGGTTTTCAAACGATCCAATAACGATGAATAATATTCGCCTGTAATAGTTTTACCCTTTTCCAGATAGTCGATGAAGATTATTCCTTGCGAATCCCAAAAGACAGTCGCCATAACCTTCCCGGCCGAAGGAATTGTCTTCGCCTTTTTCGGAGCAGATTTCCCCTTGGTAACCCATTGTTTAGACTATTCTTTGGTCTCAGGAGTGTAGTGATATATCCATGTTTCTATCTACAGTGATGAAACGACGCTTAAAGTCTTGCGGATTTTGCTGGAACAGCTGCAAACCATTCTTGCAACACTTCACACGATCGCGTTTTTGGTCAATCGTGAGCAATCGCGGCACCCATCTAGCGGATAGCTTTTTCATGTCCAAATGTTGGTGCAAAATATTATGTACCCATTCGCTCGAGATGCCTACAGTACTAGCAATCTCACGCACCTTCACTCTTCTGTCAGCCATCACCATATCATGGATTTTATCTGAAGTGGTAACCTCAACAGGGCGTCCAGAACGTTCAGCGTCTTTTGTGCTCATATGGCCACTCCGAAAATTTTGAAACCACTTATAAATCATTCTAATCGAAGGTGCACAATCACCATAATGTTTATCAAGCTTCTGTTTAATCTCCTGAGGCGTTTTGCCTTTGAAAAAGTAATGTTTAATCAATTCACGAAATTTTTTTTCGTCCATTTTTTTACAACCACTCGATTTTTTTGATTGAAACGAATGTAAAACGCAAAGTAATTGGCCGATCTGGCTGAAACTTGGTGTGTACTCTTCCAAGATATGCCACTAACTAAAAATAACCTTGATACGCACTAGTAGCGCCATCTCTCTGGCTGCACAGCAGGATTTCATTATTATTATTGTTTTACATAAAAGTTGTCCTTAAAACGAAGAATTTTACTCCAACTATGAAGGAGCGAATCATCATAATGATGATTGAAGCAATTAAAATTGAAGAATAGCAAGTATATACCTTTAAAGTAGAGTATATAAACTATCATTTTTTACCCTATAATATATGAATTTACTATTCAGAGTAGCTATGTGAGTCTGAAATATCTAAATGTCTTTTGCCATAGACTCAAACGAAAATATCAGGGTTCCACCACTTTAATCGAAAAAATTTTAAACCTTTTTTACATACAATCTACACAACCCATTTAAGTGTAATACTTTTCTAAAAAAATAATAATGCATTTTGAAAAAATTACAAAATAATCTACTTTGTATTATTTTGAGATTTTTATTTTACAAATAGATTTTTATTTTAAGTCCTACGCATTCAATTTAAAGTCAGGTTCACGTAAGTAGATTTAACAATATTGAAGAGTATCTGTATGAATGTCCAAGCACAAAACTCAGCTCAAAACTTTACAGCAAGAGTTCCAACTTTCTTGAAATTTACTAATAGCTATATGAGCCGTTTATTTTGAAAGTGACCTAACTCCGTTTTTCAATTTTCTGCCGCTTACAATGGTTACATGTACAACTTCATGTTATTTATCAGTGACGCGCTTCAGATTGCTTATATTCAGAGGAAATACGATACATTTTTTACACATAAGTTTTCCGAATTAATTGAACGTATATTTTTAAATTCATTCTAACGCGAAACTTTCAATATCTCGATTTAAAGATGAATGAAGTTAGGCCACTTTCAAAATAAGCGGCTCATATTTTAATTTAAAGTTTTCAAAAACATAATTAGCTGTTGAATCACTTAATCTAAATCTGACGAAAACACATGACTTTGACATCAAGTTGACTTCAAAAATGACAAAAACAATTTCCATCACCAGAAATTTTCCAAAAACTTACAGATAAAGAAATACTTCTGTAAAGAACAATTAACCTGTTTATCACTTGAAAAGAATGTTGAAACACAAACATAATTAAAAAAACTAATCTGTCACCAGTCACAACAGCAGCATTAAACATATGATTGTTTATCTTATCTGACTTCTGATTGCGCTTCATATTACTATGCAGTACTCGTAGTGTATAGTCTGCTGTTTTGTTGTCTAAAACTAAACACATAGCTGTACATGGCTGTGAATAAAATTCATGAATTAAAATTATTTAATCTTTGCAGAAACACCCATTTTATTATGTGTACAGAAGTGTGTATAGAAGTTTTGTGAAAAAGATTTTTTTTTTAATTATTTGAGGAAGTTGTACATTAAACAAATGATGTTTGTTTCATAGTTTATTTCATAGTAATCATAACAGTAGGAGTAGATAAGCAATGTATATTCTGGGACACAAAGGAGCCGACAAAGGATGCCGCCAATATACGAGGTGTGTTCAAAAAGTAACGAGAATTTTTTAATTTCGCGGGTTTGGAGAGTCCGCTTGTATAAAATTTTTTTTTATTATGTTGGTACACATGCCCCTGAAGTACGATAAAATTTTCAGCAATATTCATTGCTTACTTTTTAAGTGGCAGTCGCATATAGTGAGTCTGCTATGAGTAAAGCAAGGATTTATGAGTGATATAAGCGTTTCCAAGATGGCCACGAAAACGTTGAAGATGACGAACGACCCGGACGCCCAAGCACATCAACAACCGATGAAAACGTGAAAAAAGTGAACGAAATGGTTATGAACGATCGCCGAATCACAATCAGAGAAGTCGCTGATGATGTTGGCATATCAGTTGGCTCATACCATCAAATTTTTTCGAATGTTTTGGGTATGAAACGTGTGGCAGCAAAATTCGTTCCAAAATTGTTGAATTTCGAACAAAAACAGCGGCGAATGGAAGTTGCTCAGGAGTCGCTAAATGAAGTCAATAACGATGCAGAACTACTAAAACGTGTTATAACAGGTGACGAAACATGGGTTTACGGATATGATGTCGAAACTAAGGCTCAATCGTCCCAGTGGAGGCATTCTGGATCGCCAAGACCGAAAAAGGCTCGACAAGTGCGGTCGAATGTGAAGGTTATGCTCACTGTGTTCTTCGATTTTAATGGCATAGCGCATTATGAATTCTTGCCACAAGGTCAAACAATCAATAAGCAGTACTACCTACAAGTTCAACGTCGTTTGCGTGAAGCAATCCGAAAAAAACGCCCGGATTTGTTGCAAAACAATTCATGGCTTTTGCACCACGATAATGCGCCTGCTCACACTTCATTGCTTGTTCGTGAATTTTTGGCCAAAAACGAAACTGTAACGATGCCTCAGCCTCCATATTCGCCAGATATGGCTCCATGTGACTTTTTTCTATTTCCAAAAATAAAGAGAACATTAAAAGGCCGTCGTTTTACAAGCATAGATGACATTAAAAGCGAATCGCTGAAAGAGCTAAAAGCTATTACAAAGATCGAGTTTCAAAAGTGTTTCGAGGATTGGAAAAAGCGTTGGCATAAGTGTATTGTATCCGAAGGGGACTACTTTGAAGGCGACAACATTAATGTAGATGAATAAATAAATATTTTTTTCATAAAATTCTCGTTATTTTTTGAACACACCTCGTATAAGGGATACGTGTATGTTCTGGGACACAAAGGAGCCGCCTGATAAAGGTGTCACGGTAGTGACACCTTTTCATTTATGGTCAGACTCCATGCTGAGTGTTTAAAAAGCATTTGATGTACCTTTCATACCTTCCGCTTGCCAGTAGGCTCCATGCTGAGTGTTGAAAGGGCATCTGATGTACATTTGACACCTCCCGCGTGCCGCCAATGTATAAGGGATATGTGTATGTTCTGGAACACAAAGAGGCCGCCCG